GAGTTCAGGGGAGGGCCGGCCCTGTAACGCAGTGGTTAAGGGCTGTGCATTGGGAGGTTGATCCCACCCCGCTGGGTGGTGTGGGTGCGTACCCAAATCCTGACGGTTCTGAGGGTAAGGAAAAGGATTGCGGCGTGACCACTCGCTGGGAGGCTCTCCCTGTCACTCTAGTGAATGAGTCCCTCTGGCAGGTAGGGGAAAGCAGCCTTCTAGGCTGACCTCAGCTCCCTTGAACCACTTGGCAGGCTTTTGCCGTAGAACCTTTGTAGTTGTTACTTCCTTTGCCCTTCCCCTGTAACTCGGCACAAGATTCTTGTTTTTCGTGTCTCAGTTCAAAGACCATTCTGCTGAAGAAGGCTTCCATCCTACCTAATGTTGCCTGAAAGTACACCTCTTCTCCCAGATATCAATTACAGAGAAAGTCTAAAATGGGCCCTATTTGGGTCTGGGCTCATCCCTAAACCAATCAGGGGAAAAGAGATAGTGTGATTAGCCAAGCTTGGGTCACCTGTGTGCCAATGCTGAGGGTGGGCTTCTGTGTTTGCCTCACCATAATCCTGTGTAATAGAGAAGAACCCAACTACCCTTGAAGAGGGATATTGTGTATATGTCCAGAACATAACCTAGTAGAAAGGAGGCCTTCCCGTTTAGTTCATCATTGGGATTAGGCCCTAGATCTAGAGTCCATCACTTTGACCACTCACTCCAGCACCCTGAACTTCCTGTCCTGTCTGCAACTGCCTGGGAAATGGTTAACTCGATTCAAACTATTTGTATTCCTTGTCCAGAGTGCAAGCAAATGAGTGAGAAAACACATTTGCCCTCTGGCAGTGATAAAAAGAAAATCCTGGGACCAGCAGTTAGTGTAATGTCACTGGACTCCCATGTAGTTGGGAGTCCAGGTGCGTGTGCATGCATGCCCAAGATCCCAAGAGGAGAATGGAAGAGAAGGGATTGCGGGGGGTGATTTCTCACTTTCTGTCTCTCTGTCTTTCTGGTGACTGCACACACCCTATAGCAAAAACCTCTCAAAAAAATAAATAAATAAAAGAAGAAGAAAAAAGAAAGAAAATCTTTCCAGGGGTAAGACCCACTGGTAAAGCATGGACTTTGGAGACAGCCCTACACTTCCTCATGGGCTTCTGCCACCTGCTATCTCTTTGTCCCTGGGAAAGGAACATGAGTTCTGAGCCTCAGTTTCTCCTCCTGTAAAGTGGGAATAATATTGGTACATAGTACTCTTGCGAGAATTGAGGTAATGCACCAAAAGCACTTCATATCTGCCAGGCACTAGGATGAGTATGACACCAGTTAGCGCTGCAGCCACTGCTATTTTAAGTAAGGAGTTGGAGTGGTGGTCTTTGGATAGCAGTGAAGAGATGGAAGAGGGGGACCAGCAGTTAGCATAATGGCTATGTCACTGGACTCCCATGTAGTCGGCCATGGTTCGCATCCCGGACCCAGTGGCTTAAAACTCACACCGGGCACGTGTGCTTGCATGCCCAAGATCCCAAGAGGAGAATGGAGGAGAAGGGATTGCGGCGTGGCCATCCTCCCTGGGGGGGTGATTTCTCACTTTCTGCCTCTGTCTGTCTTTCTGGCAAGCGCACACGCCCTATAGCAAAAACCTCTCCAAAAAAAAAAAAAAACAAGAGATAGAAGAGGGACTGGTAGGTGTCGTGGTGGTTAAGGGGGCTGGACTCCCACGTGGGCAGCCACGATTTGAGTTCCAGACCTGGCGACTTGCTTTCTCACTTTCCCTCTCTTGCTCTGTCCCTTTCTGGTCAAAATAAGATAATAAATAAATAAAGTTAAAATAATTCTTAAAGGAAAGAGAGAGAGAGAAGAGAGATGGAAGAAAAGGGTATCAGGAAAGGGTGTGTGAGAAACATGATCCGAAGTGGAATTAAAGAAATTTAATCTTGATAGAAAAGGGTATGTTTATATGTTTATCCTCTCTCAGTTCTGGAATAGAGACAGTTTTCTAACTGGGCATCAGGTGGCGCTAAGAGCCTACAAACAGGAATCCCAATATAGCCATGAAAGTGAATGAGAAGGGAAAAAAAGTCTCAGCACTCAGGGAGACTTTGTATAGATGGGATGTCTTATATCAGATGAACCTTTAACATGTCAGTATATGGATTCATTCCCCTCTTCTGAATTTTTTCTATTTCTATATCCAGTGACATATTTAAACATGCATGCTATATGTTGTAAATATGCAAGTATATCGCTTATAATAATAGTATTATCATATTACTTATAATGTTGTAACCACCATCTCAGCCCAAACAGGCCATTTCTGTTGGCAAATATAGCAGTGAAATCTGGGCCCTGGTGAAGACAGGAGAGAAAAATATGAAGAGAACTGTAGCAGAGACTAGTGGTTGTTTGCTCCCGTATTTTACACTCCCTTAGGATCCTAGAGGCTTAGCTTGGCTATGACTGCTTTTAAAATTATTATTATTATTAATTTATTTATTTTAATTTGACCAAAGAGGGACAAAGTGAAAGAGAGAAAAGAAGAGTGAGAAAGCAAGCCGCCAGGTCCAGGGCTTGAACTGTCTCTCTGGCGAGCACATGCACCCTATAGGAAAAAAATCTCTCTCTAAAAAACAAACAATAAAAACTCAAATTTAGGGAACCAGCGGTTAGCGTAATGGCTATGTCGCTGGACTCCCACGTAGTCGACCGCGGTTCGTGTCCCGGACCCGATGGCTTAAAACTCACGCCGGGCGCGTGTGCATGTGTGCCCAAGATCCCGAGAGGAGAATGGAGGAGAAGGGATTGCGGCGTGACCATCCCCACTGGGGGGTGATTTCTCGCTTTCTGTCTCTATGTCTCTCTCTGTCTGTCTGGCGAGCGCACGTGCCCCACAGTGAAAATCTCTCCAAAAAAAAAAAAAACTCAAATTTAGTTTGTAAAAAATATTCTTAAATGTGAAAAAATATATATGGCTGGATAGATTGAAAGATCAAATAATCAAATAGAGAAGACAGTGAACAGGATACAAAGACAACTCTCAAACTTTTTTCCTCAAGAATTACTTACTTACATATTTTTATTTATGTATTTATTTTTGTTTGCTTGATTGTTTGTTTTGAGAGGTTTTTGTTATAGGGCGTGTGAGCTCGCCGAAAGACAGAGAGACAGAAAGTGAGAAATCACCCCCCAGGGGGAATGGCCACACTGTAATCCCTTCTCCTCCATTCTCCTCTCAGGATCTTGGGCATGCACACAAACGTGCCCGGCGTCAGTTTAAGCCACCGGGTCCAGGACTCGAATCGCAGTTAACTACATAGGAGTCCAGCAACATAGCCATTACACTAACTGCTGGTCCCTACTTATATAAATTTTTTATTTATTTAATTCTAGGAGTCAATCTTGGTCAGCCACATGGGAATCTGGCACCTTAACCACCATGCTACCTACCAGCCCTGTTTATTTCACTTTTTAAATTTTGTTATTATTATTTATTTTTTAATTGAGGGATAGAGAAAGAGAAAGTGAGAAAGTAAGCCCCTAGGTCCAGGACTCAAACATTGGTCAACATGTGGGAGTCTAGCACCCTAACCACCATGCCACCTTCTGGCCCCAACTCTCAAACTTTTAAAACAAGTAGTGGGCCAGCAGGTGGCTTGGAGATTAAGAAAGCTGGCTCCCACATGGAGAACTGCACTGTTCAAGTCCCAGATCCAGTGGCTTGAAAAATCACACTGAGGGGGCCACATTGGCCAACTGCGGTTCAAGTCTTGGACCAGGCAGTTTGAAAATCATATTGGGCACATGTGCATGCAGGCCCAAAATCCAAGGAGAAAAATGAAGAAGGGATTGCAGTGTGGCCATCCCTACTGAGAGTGACTTCTCACTTTCTCTCTCTGTCTCTCACTATCCAGCAAAAGCATGTGTCCTATGACAAAAATCTTAAATAAATAAATAAAAGCTTGCCTACACTTAGGCCAGCAAGTGGAATGGAAACTAAGGCACCTGGATCCCACGGGGTCAATAGGATGGTTCAAGTCCCAGAGATAGCAGTTTGGAAATTACATTGGGCACGTGTGCATGTGTGCCAAAATATCCTAACAGGAGAATGGAGGAAAAGGGATTGCAGCATGGTCATCTTCTTATTTATTTCTTTTTTCTTTTTTTTTTTTTTTTTTTTG